ATATATATATATATATATATATATATATATATATATATATATATATAAAAAGTAGGAATAAAATAAATATGTTTTTATTCTGAAAGAGGGGTCAGTACTATTATATTACTTAAAGTACTGGCTTTACTTTAGTTTTATGCATCTCATCTTCACAGGTGAACATCGTCTGGCTAGCAGCCAGTGAGTACAGACTGAGTTAAACTGAACAACCTCAGAGGGAAGAAAGGAGGGAGAAAGAATTGAACAATTATTAATATTTAGCTTATCTAAAACAGAAAAACAAATGATTTGATAAAAACTGCATACATTACATTTGTCCTCCTGAGAGGGATAAGATTTGTGATTTTGCTTGCGGACTATCAAAACCACAAGTTTGCACAATTACATTTAAAAAAGACTATGCAGTTGATTTATTTGCTCCACTGATTCGATGTCCATGGATGTTTGCGGTGGATTTGAGCCATGAAAGGCGCAGTGCCAGGAAACATGCTGTCTGTGCCAGTTTGTCTCCACATCTGGTGCACCTGCAGCGGCATTTTGCCATTAGATATTTGAGCGTATCATTGTTTATGTGACAAACACGTATGGAGTACAAAGACCTTTCATCCAATAAGCATGCTACCAGCTGCAGGCTGTTGAGAAGAAAGCTGCCGAGGTGAACGGGGGTATAGCTTTAGCTGTAATGACTGTAGCTTTGGAGAAATCAGAATGGCTGAGCCTTTCACGCCACATTACAGGGAAAGAGTACAGGTGTCACATCCACAGGTGTTTTTCCACATTCAAAGTGAATTCTTTGTTTTTTTTATCTCGTAAAGTGCATTTAAAAAATATTCTATGTGGTGCTCTTTTTTATCTATGAGATTTTTCTCTCATCTACACAAGAAAAACCTCAGACACTGGTTCTAAATAATCATTAATTTCTAGGGATACACAATATTGGATTTTTGGCCGATATCCGATATGCCGATATGTTAAAACTTATTTGGCCGATATCCGATATGCCGATATGTTAAAACTTATTTGGCCGATATCCGATATGCCGTTATATTCCGATATATTCTTGCGAGTTAGTTTTCTGTGGCGACCCCTGAAGAAGGGAACAGCTGAAAGAAGAAAAAAACATAAGATTAATAAAAATAACTGCAAGATTGTTGCTAAGTTACTTTGAAGCCTGTTTGTTGATGCACTGAAGGAAGTCTGCAGCCGAACTTCTAGAGTAGTGTAAAAGAAGGTTCCATTCATTTTTCCCATCAATGATAGTCAGTGATAAATAACCCAGATGACTTTCCCCTTTAATGTGCATTTCAAGGATTGTTGCTTCCTCTTGCGTCTCCCAGGAGTCTCACAGAAAATTTGCTGGGAGAAAAGAGAAAAAGCGTTGCCTCTTGACTTGATAGGAAATGTCTGTGGCGTGTGATTTACATAATTAAAGAAGATAAAAGTCTCAAATTCACTCGACTTGGTGCTCTGAGTTCCAGCAGTGTGAATGGCGTCTCACATGTGCAGCTGCTCACTGATGAATGGGAATGAAGCGGCAGCAGAGGTGACATGAATCACTTCCTGTTGCTGCCGTTGCTCAGACGTTTTAGAAGCAGAGAAATTAAGAGCCTTCTTTCCCACCTCCACTTTTATTTATATTCTATCTTTAAAGCTTCATAAGCTTCATGATGTTTGGACTGCTGCTCAGGAAGGAAGTACTGATAGCTAGAACGTCACACATTACAGAATCAAAATGCAGAATATTACTTATTTTTACATATTCAATTGTATTGATTTATACCTGTTTTAAGAACGAAAGCATTATGATTATAGCAAGCCTTTGCCCCAACTCTATTAAATATTAACTATTTTATCGCCCATCACTAAAAGCCTGTATGTGTGCAAGTGTGAGGACATATCTGTGTTTGTCTGTTGGCAAAATATCTCACCAAATACTGAACAAATTTTAATGGAAACCCTCGAAATGTGATGGCTGGATGCACTTCTGCAACTGATACACTTCTGCAGTCAAACCAATTTAAGATGGCCACCACAGCTAATCTTAAGCAGAACAATTAGTACAACTCAGTCATATTTACATTTACATATACTGAACTATAATTTAGTGTAGTAGCAGCTGACAGTCATCCTCACCTACATTTTCAGTCTTTCATTATTATTTAAGGTGCATCAACTTTATTAACTTTTGACATTTAAATCCATGGCCCATAGCCGAGTGACTTTAGAAATCACAAAAATGGCTATAACTCAGCCAGTTCTACAAATACTGAGGTAATATTTGATGTGGTAGTAGCTGAGAAATATTGTCAACTCATCCTTCAAAGACTACACAATGCGGAAGGTTTGAACTTAACATTAGCGTTGACTGTCAAAGTCAGCTCTGTTTGTTTGTTAGCAAAACATTTCATGAACCACAAGACACAAATTAATGAAAGTCCCAGATATTAAACATTGAACATACGTCTACAACTCACTTGGAGTCACTCAATTCAAGATGGCTACTTTTGTTCATACCATCGATGTGTTATAAAACCTTTCTATCAAAGGCTTGCACACTGTCAGATAACTTTGTCACCTCCCAGCCCCGGAGCGACATCTATAATGTAAATGTTGAGGTACTTAAATGAAGCATTTAGTCTTCAGATGGTATGGAAGTAAAGAAACGCTGATATAAAAGACTGTACAGTCACTGAATGAACTCGGCTGCCCCAGTGATGTGACGCACAATTTATCTGTCAAGGAAATTGCACTCCGTCGGTTCTTACTTTTTTTTTTTTTACATTTATTTTTTTATTGCTTTTTTGCTGCTGCATGTGAAGTGGTTCATTTGCTGCATTTTGTTCAACTAACAGTTCAGCATGGACAGTGATGGGGCAGTTCAGCTCAGCTACCAACAGTACTGGTTTTTAGTCTAAACTGCCACGCGAAGCAGCTTCGCTGAAGAACCATATGTTTAGAATCAGAACACTTTTTATTATCCTTACACACTGAAGTACAACAAAATTACCTTCTGTACAGCCGTCCTAAAGATGGACAGAAGTGAACGGGGGGCTGCAGCTTCTACGATGCGCTGATCCTTTTGCTTAGATAAGAAAACATAAAGAGAGGTATAAAAAAAGAACATCTCTCAAACCATGTTCTTGACGGGGCACAATTTGAGGCATAAAAAATAATCTACCACAGCAAAGCAACGTAAATAGACATAATACATATGCATGTGGAGTGGGTAGGGGATGGGGGTCCCAGCATGGCCGCCATGTGAGCGACACAGTCCTTGGCGCCTTCGCATCCCCTAGGTTGCTGCGCCAGGGGAGGCGAGGAAGACCAGTGGAGGTGTTGTAGCACATCACAGTCCAGAGCGCACCCCCAGCCATAGTCCTGATAAGAGATGTTCGTTTATCAGCCAGCTCAGTTGAGCTCTGTCACAGGTCCACAACCTTGGGGAAGGAAGAGGTGGGGAGGGGGACAGAGCATCTTTGCATCCATAACATCCAAGGATACGTTGAGATAGTCTGCCTTCCAAGGCCAGGTCCAGATTCAGACATCAACATGGGTCAAGCTGAACTCGTAAATGTCTGTGTCAGCCTTAACAATCGCGCTAGTACATTCTCGCATGGCGACTCCAAACAGCCGAATTTGATTGAGCTTACAACTTCTCCAAGATTTATTCCTTCCAACCGTTCGTGGCCACTGCCAGAAAGTTCCACAGTCCTGATAAGGATCATCCTGCCCAGCTTTTGATACAGCGCCACATATAGTTTGCACAGAGTCCGAGTGCTGCCAAGCTCGGCACCTTCTCCACATAGTTTGTCGACAATCCAGATTTCCACTAACTCCAAACGGTAAAATCCAGTTATCATAGATCCAGT